ATCCGTTGCCCGTGGCAGGCGCGGTGTGCGGTGCCCGGTTGCCGAGGGCTTGGGATGTGCTTTCCGTGATGCCGAGGACGTTCTGTCTGGAGTTGCACCGCGTGCAGGAGAAGAAATCGAGATCTGCCCGCGGGCGCCCTCGGGATCAGCGAAGCCGGGTGTTTTTCGTGTGCTTATTGATCAGAGAATGCGTGCAAAATGTAGAGGTGTCTTAGACACGCGAGCCTCGTTCGTGGCGACAGTTTGAATGTTAATTGCGAGTGCTCACAATTTTGATGGGGTACGTGCAACTCCCTTTACACGTACCCTAAAATAAAGTGGTGGGTCACACAACTTGGTGTGGCCACACAAGTGGTGTTGGTTTCACTTTGACAAGAAGTCAGTACGTGAATGGCTGGAGTGCCAGTAGTTATGCATTTAATTATTAAATTAGAAATACCTATAGATTTAGATATAGTCGGCTTTGAACCAAGGGAAACAGTTCACATTTTAACCGGAGAGTTTATTTGCCTTGGGTTAAGTTTGTGGTTACTCATGGAGTAAACGGATTGCGATTCGCCACACTTGTACTGGTGCTAAGTATCGAACGAAGGTCACCGACCTTAGCTTAGCTTCCTCTTAGCGAAAGAGCTTCGGCAGCCCTGGTGCATTTTCGCTAAAAGAAATGCACACAATGTTGTTTTGCATGACCTTATTAAACACTCACATACAGACGTACAGAACTTGCATTGATTTCCGTATTGAAAGCAAGTGTATCCGTGTGCAGACACCATTGTGTACCTGCTAATATTTATCGTGGTGAGCATCAGTGTATCTTGAACATATTTATATACTGAAGCTTTTGCTAAAAAATATATTTCGAATTATTTGGTTTAACAAGCAAAATCATGGCTCAGCAGATGGCTGAGTCAGCGTTCTAAGGCTGCAGTGTCGGTTTTGATTAAGAGGCTGATACGTTGACTGCAATAATTAATCAATGCGCGACTTTCGTCCTTTTAGGCTAGTCTAACATGAATTAGAGGTTAAAACTACGACGAGGGCACCTTTTCGTCATGTCCGCTGCCGAGGTTATGATTATATGACTCATTGAATACAATATAGATCATCTCTCAATAGTAAAGATTGCATCACCGCAATCGAATGTGAAGTGATACACACCAATGAATGATTAAAGATGTACGGCAACTAAAGCACTCTCAATCATGTGTTAAATAAAGTCAATTTAGCACGATCCTAGGCCTCAATCTTGTTCTGATCTAGACTAGAGCACAGTAGTCAATAATTTTCAAGAAACACCTCTTTGCAAGTATATGTTATAATGTAATCCCAGATGATCGAAGATAAGCAGCTATGTATACTATTGAAACTCAAAATTATCCGGCTCAGAGTCGTCGTCATCATTAGGTTGCCATCGACGCCTCGCCCTGATCTACAACAAAGTGATTGATATAAAAAACAAACAGCATCACAACAAAACACTATCAAGTACCTCGTCAAGGTCATCGCTGTCCGCTAGAGACTCGTCCGACTCGTCTGATAACTCTTCATCTGGGTAGTCGTTTGCAGCATTGTCCTCACCATTTGAGTCTTCGCTCAATCTACAGATATCAAACATGACAGCAATAAAAGGTCAAATCAAGCTCAACAAAACATGGTAATCTTCTGTGTCTTGAATTCTAGTAATAAGCATATCAATACAAGATCCATACCCGTCATCTTCACTGCTATCAAGGTCGGATTCCAGCACATATTCCTCCACTTCATCACTAGGCGTATCCCTTGAAAGCCAGTGGTGTACCTCTGAGCTTACATTCACAATTGGCGCACTATTAACACCTATTTGTTTGCTAATATCTGCTAAATCGGTTGAAGAGTCTTGTAACGGGTCCTGTTTCTCAGTCGCTTCAAGATCAACACAGTAGACGTCGTAGACGTAATCCTTTTCTCTTTCTGCTTCTTCACAAGCGCGCAGTGCTGTTGCTACATTCAAATGACCTCCACGTTCCGCAAACATAGCTGCAGTTGCCCCTTCCCAATCTTGTTGAAGAATGCTCAAGTTACCAGAACGTAGCAGTACTTCGATCACATCATTACGTCCGTGCAATGCCGCGGCCATTAAGATTGTACTTCCATCTACTGGTCTTTGAAAAGTTGTCGGAATTGCACGTTGTTCTGACTGCTGTGCATGATAAATCCGAAAAAACGGTGCAAAATCATTCGTTCGAAATGCAGCCCAGATCGCCTCATCAAGCTCACGCTCGTACGGATTCAGCACCCTCGTCGGTTTCAACGTGACACCATTGATAGTGACAAGATCGGCATTACTCTTAGTTCCATTTTTCTCAACCCCCACCTCGATGTTCGGATTCGAATCACTCGACATTTGTAGATCAACCAATCGAATACCACCCAACTCTATCTTCTGCGTCTCTTTGATCTCCACGAAAGCGTTTAAGCCTCTAGATTGAAAAACATTCTCATTTCTTCGCGCCTTTGAGCGACATTGCTGCTGTTTAACACGCTTCTCTGTCTGTTTTGAAGCTCCAAACTCTTTCTGAAACACAGAAATTTGATGCTTTTTAGCCATCATGTTAGCATGCTCCTCCTTGAGCGTACGAGCTTTGCGTTTGAGTCGCTGTGTCCATTTTGCATGACCAGAAGCTACAGATTCTTCCATTGTGTCAATATGCTTGAACACAAAGCGCTTTTTGCCAGTTGATAGCTGTGCAAATGCTTCAAGGAGATCTGTCTTGTAGCGCTTCGAATCTGGCTCGCTCTGCACCACTAAACAATTCATCGGTTCATCTGTGCGCTTGCGTTTCAAGCTCAGAAAAACAAACGATGGCTTCTTCTGCTCATCAAGTTTGACTGTCAAAGAGTGCGAAGCTTTAGTAGCAACGGACGATCCTGTACTTTGCGACGCATTGTCGCCCATCACTTTTACGCTCGATATTTTTTCCGACAAAACGTAACAATTCTTTTTCAAGACTTTTTTTTCTACTAACGTGAATATCAAGCTTTGCATCTGAATTTTAGCAATTCTAAACCATCAAAAGTGATCATCATGACTTGATATAAAGCGTTCTGAGATGTGATTCGAGAATTTAGAAAATCACACGAAAGGATTTTATTGTATGGCCATTGCAAGCAAAACGATCGAAATCTGCATCTACGAACGGTAGTCGGCGTTTATGGCCACGTACTCGTGCGTCAAGTCAATTCCTAGTACTTGTGTCTCTTCAGAACCAACTCCCAAGTCAATATTAATCTTATCATCATCACAAATATCAAGATGTCACTCTTTTTCATATATAGAACGACGACAATATGCGCTTACCTCGACAAACTTTCCATGTGGCGGATAATTGTGCGAGCTTGCGTCCAAACCACCGCGCGTAGGCTCAATCAGCATTGCATCGCGCATGTGCGCCACAAGTTTCGCTTCAATGTCGTTGTTGAGTACCATTTCACCGTTTTCAAAAATCAAAACGCCACCCATTCGAATCTTCATATGTCGCTGAATGTTCACGTCCTTGTGGTGTAGACCCATGTACTTACCTACAGCCATGACGAGACGACCCACGTTTGGATCATTGCCAGCCACTGCACATTTGAGCAGAGGTGAGTTTACAACCGATTTGCCAACTCCTTTAGCCATATCCTTCGATAGTGCGCCACTCACGCGCACTCGCATAACGTGGTGCGCACCTTCACCGTTGCGTACAATGTCTTCACTTAACCCAAGACACACGGCGTGCAACGCTTCTTTAAACTCATTCAACTGCTTGATGTCAAATGGAATTTGGTCGGACGACACGAGCGTCACCGTGTCAGACGTGCTTTGATCTGTGTCTATACTAAGGGAATTGTACGTATCACCCACAACATCAGTCAGTAGCTGACGCAGCACATCACGCGGAATCGATAAATCTACACGCATTTTGTCAATGAGAGGTCGTATCAAAACTATTATCAATGTCGAGAAAAGCGGAACGCACCAGTGAGAATATACGATAACATGGTAGCCATGTTCGGTTCAATCATCCCAGCACCTTTAGCGATCCCAACAATACGACCACCACATACGTCCACGGAACGGATTTTTGGATACAAGTCTGTGAATTGTGGTCACTTCGTTATTAATACAATGAAACTTATCATTTAGACAATTCAAAGTCACGGACCGGTTGTCATGATACCCTCAGCAGCTGGTAATACCGAATCAGATTGTAAATTATTAACAAGCTTTGGGAGATTCTCGACCATGGCATCCACAGGAATTCGCCAGCCAATGACGCCTGTGGAACATGGCAGCACTTGGGATCCTCCTTCAAGTCTAAGGTGTTTGGCAAGATGTTCACAAACTTCTTCTGCATCAGCTACCCCACCACCGCTTGCGCAGACATTAGAAATTTTGTTATTGACAAGGATCGCGCCGAGCTTTGTCTCATGCAGACGCTTGCGACCCACAAGAACTGGAGCTCCAGGAAATGCATTTTGCGTAAACACAGCAGCAAAAAGCGAAGTAGGTTTGACAGGTTTAATAAGGGTCATGGTCATCTTGGCTGGTAGATGGGGTGCCTCTTGTGGCACAAAATCGAATTGAGTGGTGGCTACCGAAAATCCCCAGGGCAGGCGGCTCTGGTGAGCTTCTAGGTAGTCCATATACTCATGGCGCGATTCAAACACAAATGGATGACCATTAGTGGATAGACATCGCGTTTGGAACAACGAACGCGAGCGGTTGAGTAGCGACAATCTCATGATTGCCATGACAAATAGATATTGCTGCCGAGTTTATTATGTTTTCGAATCAATATCTGTTTCTTTGTAAAAATTTTGGTAAATAGTGCACCTTGAAAAATTAAGGTTTCAAATTTCTATGATAACTTTTAGCTCTTCATATTGGGTCAAACTCTAACTTGAGTTCGATTTGTGTATCACATTCTACTGTTTACTCAACCAAAATTATCAAAGCAGCCAATATGGCAGAATCTGTTGCAATAAGGTCACAACAGTGTAAATTATATTGAGAAGGAAAGCACGACTGTGTGTTCCGGTCTCGAGGATGCACCGATGGCGAAACGAGAAGCAGTATCTGTGAGCTGTAAATATCTATGCCAGAGACAGTGGAGAGTAGAAGCGGTTGGTTGTCGCAATCTTCCGTGTCAAAGCCAGTATAGTTGAAGGGCGACTGTAATTCGCGATTGGTAGGACTAGGCCTCAAAGATAAGGAAGACTGTCAATCCATGTCATGGTGTGGTGGTTAGCACTACGATCGCCGAGCGGAGCAGAAGTTGCATCGGGAAGCGACAATAAAGATTATCCAATCGTGATAGAGTATTCAGTTCAGTTCTAGGAATTGCAAGTCCCCTCACTACCCCCGGCATTACCTATTTAAGAGCTAGGCTAGTTATCCATCGGGGCTATGTGTAAGAAAGTGGAAGATAATACAGTCGCCAAATGGTAAGGTTAGCGTGAGACGAGAAGCTGGGCCGTTCATTTTTCATGGAAAAACCTTTCGCTGAGAATACTCGCAGATCACTGAGTGCACGAGTGAAATAGCTATTCTCAAAGATTCTTTACATGTATATTACGACGTGGTGACGAGAGATTCTTACGGCATGAGGCGAATGGTGCATAAGTATAATCATCTTAATGGGGCTGCGGTTTTGGCGCAAATGTAAATGATGCGCTGCATAACAACATGTAGAGCGGCTGCACTCTGCTCAGGCCCTTGACCTAATCGCTACAAGTGCTACCGAGCACTGCGTGGTTCTCGCGCGCTTTGCACAGAGAAAGCCTATACTTTCGGAATCCGTGCTAACAAATGTACATGAATTTGGCTCGTGTGTCTCTAGAAGAAGTGAAACCAAGAGTCTCTAAGGTATCTAAGGCTGTATGTTCGCTCTGCTATCTCAACATCAATTAAATATAAGATTAGTTTTGTAAAATCTTTACTATCTCTCATAACATTTTGACGTGTGGTTGGCAGCCCACTTGTATTACAGACTCATCCTTTTTTATTTGAAAATAGCAGAATTTCCGGTACATTTAAATATTCAAAAGTTAGACTGCGTGTAATGTCAATGTTGTGCAGTTGTACTATAATGTGCCAGATACAACAACAGTAATTACCTCGCTACGAAAGTTTTCGGTTTGCATTAAATATAAATTGTATGTGGCTTATCTCTCCCTTGAACGAAATGATGTTCGGGCTCTCGCACAGAGTCGATCCGGCGAACTCAAGCAGGAAACCGTTTAGTCCCAGTAGGCTCAGGGAGGCCGACCGAAAAAATCGATCCCCGTGTACATTGTAAAGATCAAGACTAACAAAATTTTCAAAGGGAGCGACTCTTTATGTGAGATGTGGCTCACATCCCAGAGTTGTTGATCATTAGCATCAATGTCTTGAAATTAGTCGTTAATAAACCTGATGTATTCAATGACATCGTGCTATCACAAACGATGAACGTAAGAGAGTACGCAGAGGCATGATTGATGCCGAGTATGGATGCAATATCCATGGTCTTACGATCGATCTTTGAAATCTTTATGTAACGTTTGGCGCTTTCCAGCGTGAAATATTGCATGGTTTTGGCTCTGGATGAAAGATACGCGTTTTCATCCTAGGTTGGTGTGACTAGACCGTCATGAGCAATGGATTGACAGGATGTCGTAGCGACGCACTGAAATTTCAGTGGAGCTTAAATGATTCATGTTTTAACTGTGATTGCGCGGGTATGAAGATAACTCTGTTTGTATAGACAAAGACATTACTTAATGCCACATCTCGAGCGTTTTTAGTAAGAAAGGCAAGTATTATGTGAGCTGGGGAAAGCGAGTGACACAGGTAGGTAACTAATATGTATCGAACGCTAGAAACGCCAAGAACGCTGCACTAGTCAGCGCATATCAACAAGAGTTCGCGGCGTTCATCTGTCTGTTCAGCCCGAAATCCAAACCAGTGTATAGATTCACTTCGTAGTGAGTGTGACCCCTAATGCTCCCGCGAGATCTGTGTCTTCGACCGCAAGAGCTCAGGGCTGCTGTTGAACTCAGCTTATGGCCCTTCGACTTCCCTGGCTATTGCCAGGAAGCGCGGGGCGTCTGATGACGCGGGACGTCCTGATCTTTTCGATCAAAAGTGTC